TGTGGACCCTTACTTTAAAGATGGCAAGTTCTAATAAGACTCACCTCTTTTCTTTAAAAATAGAAAACCCCACATGGTAGGATTGTACTGACCCACTTGTCTAATTATTACATAGTATTACATAACTTCTAATAATAATTCATAAGAGTTGCGATCCAACGTGGTCAGTTCCATTGGAACTCACCACATGTCACCTTTCCATTGGGCCAAAAATAATGGAGTAAACAATATGATATATTAATATAAAATTAGTTATATCTTAAATGTCATGTGAAGTATATATTTTTCAACAGTTATTGTTGAAAGCCTGCGAGAGAGTTAAAGGCCGAAATCAATGCAGAGAAGTTCATGGATTGATTATTCTCAGTGAGAATGATATGGATATTATTATTCGTACCAATCTCATAAAATTGTATGTGGTAGATGTTTCAATTGGTGATGAAATGCCCAAAAGGGACTTGGTGTCTTGGAATTATTTTATTTTGTTTACTCCCAAACGGGTTTGCACTACAAGGTATTGAAGATATATGACCGAATGAAAAAAATAATAATGTGGGTTTTGATGGGTTTAATAATGTGGGTTTTGATGGGTTTAGCCTTGTTAGCTTGCTCTCGCCTTGTGCTCATGTGAGTGCGTTGAGTATTGATGTTCAAATGCATAGATTCGCCACTGACTATAGGTTATTACATAATGTTTTAGTTGGAAATGCTCTTGTAGTTAAGTATGCTCAACGCAGAAGCTTGGATGGTGCTCTTTGTCTTCAAAAGAGAGAGGCGTTACTTAGAACTCAATAATTGTCAAGCATATGTTTGTGGAGATCAAGTAATATCCTTCTTCAATCAAATGTTGATTGTAGGAGTCCAGCCATTCGATCACATTTTTTGAATTTTTTTCAATTTGCTCAATACACGTGGGATGGGAGGACAGTGTATGTATCATGTGATGAATTATGAATGTTGTTCTAAAAGACACAACATGACCATCATAAATAAATAAATGGTTAATTACACTCACATCCCTTGAGGTTTTTCTTATTAACCGTGAAATGAAAGTTGGCCCCTTTTTGAACAATGACTACTCCTAAGGTTTGATAAAGTTAACAAAAACACCCCTACCACATCCGACACACGAATAAAATGGCCTAAATGATATTTGACTTGTCAACAATCACATTTGAGTCATTAAATGACTTAAGTACCCTTTTGTAACTATTATTCTTAATCCTATATTACTATATTAACAGTGCATCACCACAAAATTTATATATATATATATATATATATATATATTTATCTATATAAAGAAAGAGAGAGTCTCTATTGATCACAATACTCAGCAACTATGACTGATTCCATATTCAGAAAATAAATTCCATAGATCTCATGTATCCAATCACATGATTACCATAGTCAACACCCCTCTTCTCTCCCCTTCACGTTATTACCAGAGTCATATCCTCTTCCACCATGTTGTCTTCTTCTAAATATATATATATATATATATATATTGTCTTCTTCAATTTAATGAATGCTTACACTTTTTATAAATTATATTATATATATAAAAACATACAAAAGGTTTTTTAGCGAATTGGAGACCAAAGAACAAGATATACTCACACACACACACACACACATATATTATCAAATTTGAACAAAACAAAGGAAAAAGGAAAATACATAAATCCATATATATAGACCCATATATAAACTATTTGAAGTTTCATTGGTTTGAAATAGAGTTCTGATTTAAAAACGCAGATGAAATATCGTGAAAAATTGGGAAGAATGGCTTTTAGAAGAGCAAACCCAGAAACGGGCCAGTGAGGTGCAGAGCCGAACACGAGCCGCCAAAACCAAAAAGGAGCAAACCAAAAAATTAACGCTGGCGAGGTGGGGATCCCAACACGAGCCATCGGAGCCGAAGAGAAGCAAATCCAGAAAACGTTGGCAAAGGTTGTAGGGTTCCAGCATAGTAGATTTATGTGTTTTTTGTGTGTATACCCGTGGTGGTGGTGGTGGTGATAGGAGGTTGAGAGGTGGGCGGTAGTGGTGGCTGTGTCTGAGGGATTGATGGTGGTAAGTGAGGATGACAAGAGCACCAAACACGTGGTTAATAATCTGAGGAGTATTTTGGTCGTATAAATATTTTGATATTTTAGTTTAAGAATTATTATTTTGTTGAAGGGCAATAGTGTCTTTTTCTACATTTTTAGGGGTTATTTGGTTATCATTTCTGACAGGGCCGTGAGTGTTAAAAAAGAGACCAACTTTCATCTAATTGTCAATTGGGCAAACTTTAGAGGAAGTGAGTGTAATTAGCTCATAAATAAAAGTATAAATAAAAAATTTGATTTATTTATTTAAAATAACAAATATAATCAAAATTAACACTAGACATTTCAATTCATTTGTAACAATTATTGAAAATAGTTCAGCTGAATTTTCACACCCCAGTTGCCTCCTTTGAAATTTAATCAAGTAGATAAGACCAAGTTAATAATCGGTTCTCTTCCATAGCAAGTACTCCATTATCTTTGTATTGAATCTCTGGAACATTGGATCACCCTAGTCTTTAATTAGACTTGTGGAAAAAAATGTATTTTTTTTCTTAATTGAATAAGCGATTGAGGCTTTAATCACAAGCAAAAATATGAGAGAAAGAAATGACAATTTTATTATAAAAAAATATCTATTATAAAATGTTCATCACATTTTCACGATGGAAAATTTAAGAACAATTTCAATGACATCTCTAAAAATTTTTAAATTTGTCACCTTAACATTTTTCAAAAGTTACATCTTCATTTCTAACAGTCACGTCATCATTTCCAACAGTTACGTTAGCATTTTGGACTCTTCAAATTTTAACTATTACATGTACTCCAATGATGCGTTTTCGTTCTCCAAAAATATTAATATTTTACTATATTTTAAATTTTTTTAATAATAATTCTTTTTTAACTTTATCCCAATGGTTATATTTCTAAGGATTATATTATAAAAAGAAATTAAACAATACAATATTCATTATGAATTAAAATAAATTATAACAATACAATATGAGATGAATTAAAAATAAATAAACAATACAATATCCATTAGACAATACAATATCCATTATAAAATCAACTAATAAAATATTCATTAAGTCTTCAAGGCATTAGTTGGGCAGAAAAAGTAAGAAAAAAATAATAATTGTATTCTCTTTTTTTTTTCTCCAAAAAAATCTTTAAAACACTTTTTATATTAGCCAAAGAGTACCTAAACAGTTCTTTACTTCAGTTTTGTTGAAAAAAAAAAAAAAAAAAAAAAAAAAAAAAACTCTTAATTTTGGATGCTTCATTGACTGGGCCTATTTTAAAAATAATAATAATAAATTCTGGCAGATCCGCGGATTGCCAAATGGGTCGACCCACATAGCGATTTAAAAATGACGGTGCAAAAATGGCGACCTGCATTGGAACGGATTGGGCCATCATTTTGTGGGTTGGGCTCGCCTAAATGGACTACAGATTCAAGTCCCTTGTGAACAGTGTAGTAAAGGCATATGCATACATTTGTATATATATTGGGGGTGGGGTGGGGGACTATGCACAGGCTGTTAAGACTACTGGGGTCTTTTTACAATTATTTGGGACATTTTTATAAGTCATTCTTCTTATTTGATCTTATTTGTTGATTGGATCTAAGGGTTACTAGAGCTTGATTTTAATCAATTTGTTGAGAGTTCTTCGAGTGTCTTTGTTCTTGAAGAAAATCGGAAGAAGCTTGGTTTTGATCAGAAGAATGACATGTCTTTAAATGTGCTTATTATTCTTCATCTGAGTTGAACTTCAATATTGTTTTTAAGTCGTTTATTTATTTTTTTCTTTCTCTACCCCAAAACCCTATTTATAGGCTCAAGAAGAGGTATAATTATAACATATTTCACTTTCGATAATTATTCAATTTAATTATGATAATTATCTTAATAATAATTATAAATTTATAATATCACAATTATGTTTGGGAAGACGGTATTTGTACTTCACTTTTTTGCGATTATAGTCTATTTTTCTTTGTTATGTAAAGCAAATGACAAAAAAGCCCCTAAAATCGCAGAAAAGGTAACCAATGAAAATTTTAATTCAAGTAAAATAACATAGTAGTTGTGCAGGGGGTTCAACTATGTTTGGAATACTGAAAGTGTGAGGTGATTCTTACTCTTAAAAAGGATGATTCTTTTCCTTCGTTTTTTAAAACTAAAACAAGTCTTCTATTCAGACCAAAAAAAAAAAAAAAAACCATTGTAAGAGTGAAATTCAATTTTCAAAAATTTTCTTTTGGCAAAAATACCCTACAAACTTTTTAAAAAGGGTCAAAGTGAAATCTCACACTTTCGTTTGCTCCCGCCGAGTAATTCTTTTAAATGAATATTGCTTTCATATTTAGCACGTTTCGATTCCATTGTTACTCTTTGTGACAAAATTTGCAGGCATTTTTGGTCTCGATCTCAGCCCTAATTTATGTGACTTAAGTCTTGTATTTTCATTTGCTCCCGCTTAATTATTCTTTTAAATGAGTATTGCTTTCGTATTTAGCACGTTTCGATTGTGTTATCACTATTTGTGACATAAATTTCATAACTTAGGCGTTTTTGGTCTCGATCACGGTTCTGATCTGTGTGACTTAACTCCAACACTTTATTTGCTGTTTTTGAAAGGAGGAGAAATACTGCTAGGCCACCTACCCAAAAAAAAAAAAAAAAAAAAAAAAAACATACCATTAGGCGACCAGTAAAGCTCTTAATTTTGTCATAATCAATTTGGGATCAAATACGCGGAGTACTATTTTACCTTATCTCCTTACGTGTACTATATCCATTGGATAAGATAGTTAATATTCGAACAAAGGTTGCATCCTATGTCGTCACCAACTCACTATCTTCCATCTTACATGACAATGACACGTGTCATAAATCTGTACTTTTTACCTTTAAGATTTGAGACTAAAAAATCATTTAATTTTCCCTCAGAACTTTCCGGGAAAGGTCAAAATCTTGCCAAACAAGAAACTGCTGCAACAGATCTTTGTCTACAATCGTTTTTGCAAATTTATATAGTATTAGAAACGTCTTAGAGATAGTGTGTGTGTAGAGAGAGAATTGATTTTGGGGAGAGAGACAGTGTGGAAACACTGGTTACTTATATTCATGATATTAGTATATATGTATATACAGAGAGTGTGAAGGCAGATTATCAGGGAAATTAAGAAACAGATTGTATTTATATTGGGGTTTTGATTCAGTGATAGAAAGTTTGGGGTGGTGTGTGTATAGAGAGAGAGAATTGTTTTAAGATGTTACCTTCATCCTTTTCGTACTGATTTCTAGAGCGAGAGTGTGTACAGATTGAGAGAGAGAGAGATTGGATTCAAACACAGAGCGATTTGTGTATAATTGATTCAGATTTCAAGTTCTTATAGAGAAACATGTCCCCTACATCTTCATTTTCGAATGAACAAATACGGACCCAACCCCAAACCCTAACCCTAATTCCAGGAGTCCCAAACGATCTATCCGCATTAATCCTAGCGTTCGTTCCATTCTCTCACTATGCTCGTCTCAAATCAACCTGCAAATCATGGAGGGTTTTCCTATCATCCAAAACCCTAATTTGTCTCCGCCGATCACACCTCCGGATCTCTCATCTCTCACACCTCCTCTGTATCTTCCCTCAGGACCCGTCAATTGCGTCACCGTACCTTTTCGACCCTCGAAACCTAGCATGGTGTCCTCTCCCTCCCATGCCCTGTAACCCCCATGTCTATGGCCTCTGCAATTTCACCTCAATTTCAATTGGGCCACACCTCTATGTCCTTGGAGGATCACACTTCGACACAAGGTCCTTCCCTATTGATCGTCCCTCCCCATCGTCCTCCACTTTCCGCTACGACATAGTCACGTCTTCATGGGACCGTCTCTCCCCCATGCTCTCGCCTCGTGGGAGCTTTGCGTGTGCTGCGATCCCAAATTGGAATTGTATTCTTGTTGCTGGTGGTGGGTCTAGGCACACCCTGTTTGGAGCTGCTGGGAGTAGGATGAGTTCAGTGGAGATGTATGATATAGGGAAGGATGAGTGGGTGGCGTTGGATGGGTTGCCACGGTTTCGAGCAGGGTGTGCAGGATTCTTGATGGGAAAGGGGGAGAAGAAGGAATTCTGGGTGATGGGTGGATATGGGGAATCGAGGACGGTTTCAGGGGTGTTTCCCGTGGATGAGTATTACAAGGATGTTGTGATGATCGAATTGAAGAATGGTGGGAAGTGGAGGGAGCTTGGAGATATGTGGGAGGAAGGGGAGAGGAGGCGACTCGGGAAAATTGTTGTCGTTGAGGACGAATTTGGAGATGTTCCTGGCATTTTTATGCTTGATGGATTCGATATCTTCAGGTAAGTTTTAAGGCTTTGTGTTTACACACTGTGAAAATTTGTTGTCTATTTTATTTTGCTATGCATACTCTGTTGTCCTGTTTACTGAAACAATTGGAATAATTTATCAGTGATCTTCTCTGGTAAATTGTGGACCAAGTGGTTTTTCATTGTGAGCGATAATAAATTAGTCTTATTTGACTATCTAATTTTGTTGCTAACTTTACCTGAACTGAAATAAGTAGTCGGATCATTGATTCTTGTATGAAGTGTTTTTGTGACATTATACTAATGTTTAAATTTGAGAAACCTAAAGGCTGACAGTTAGCTGTTATTAGCTGCCCTTTCCTTCAGGGAGTTCTGGGGATGGACTCTTTTCAATTCCACTAGCAGTTCAAAGTTTAGGTCGAAGTTAGGTCAGCTTGGTGTCTGATCTGTGTTTGATTGTCCTGGTTAATTTGTAAAAAAATGCTACTATTTTAATGGCTTCCGGACTATATGACTGGATTTTTAAAGATATTTTACTGAAATAATTATCAGCTTGGCACGTAAACACCTCACGGTTCTAATAGGTGGAACTTCAATAATCACATAACGTGATAAACATGGACAACCAATTTTATATGAGATCATACCAGGTCATGAAACATTTGTTTTGTATAATAACCTTAACCATCTTAAAGGTTGGGAAAATTGTTGCTCAATGTTTTGTGTGTTAACTGTGTTTCTGTGAGATTATTCTGTATAACCATCTTAAAGGTTGGGTAAATTTTTGCTCGATGTTTTGTGTGTTAACTGTGTTTCTGTTAGATTATTCTGTATATTGTATATCAAGTATGATTCAGAAGTTATTGTTTTGCATTCACAAAATATCAAAGGTTATAAATTTGAAATTTTAGCAGTAATTCAACACCAGGTGAATATGCATCCAGAATATTGATTGGAGTTTGGGGCAAATGTTATATATATATATATATATGAACCCCCTCACTAGGCCCATATTGATTTTGGCAATATTACTATCCTCCTACCACCTTGAAAGATCTTTCACTACTACAATCACCATTACCACTTCAAACTAGGGATGGCAATGGGATGGGTTCTTACTCTAAATCCCATCCCCTTAATTAACACGAACAGAGCTCACACCCTAACTCGGCCCTGGCTCGTCATGGTGACTGTGTTCTTATTTGGAAAATTATAAGAGAGAGGCCATCAGATTTTGAGGGACACCCCCAAAATTACTGAGATCTATATGTAAAGAGAGATGTAGATATATATATACACACAACACAAACACATAGTTACACAATATAAAAATATAAACCCCTTGCTGAGAGCCGGACCACTGAAGTAGAAGAAATAATTGGACCACTCTTTGTGGAGCCTACCGTTATTAGCATGTGTGTGTGTGTGTGTGTGTGTGAGAGAGAGAGAGAGAGAGAGAGAGAGAGAGAAGCAAATCCATGTACTAGGGATGAGAGGGAAGGGGACTACGCCTAGGCAGATAAATAGTTAGAACCCTAGGATAGTGATATATATATATATATATATATATATATATATATATGTAATAAGGGTGTTTAAGGAATCATCATCATCCTTGCCTTTATCCCATAGAGATGGGATTGGCCACATAAATTCTCTTTTTCCATTCCTTCCTATTATACACCACGTCCTCTCTTAAATTTAGAATTTTTAAGTCATTTTTAATTACTTCATCCCACGTAAGTTTTGGTCGGTCACTTTGTCGCTTATCTTCTACACAAACTCTCTCTCTCTTTTTTTTTCTAGGTGCATCATACTCCATAGAATTGCTACATATCTGCCCCCCTCTGAATTCAGTTTGGGTTCGGTATATTTATCTCATACTCCTCCCTAACCCGTTTAAAGGTACTCCACACCCATCCCATTAGGAGTGAGGTGAGGTTCCAACCTGCCAGGTTGGGACAAATAGCTACTCCTACTTCAAAATCTCACGCCACATCACTAGGACCTCCAGGATCCACCATGTTTACCTAATGTTCATAACGATCATCTCTTCGGGTAACGTATGACCTTTCCTTGTCTAGTGGACTAGAGATTTATCATTGTCACCATCCAACTTGTAACATATAAACGTTTTAGTGCGACTCTGTTTTCTCTTAAGAGTTGTTTGACGCTTAAGTAGTAGTAAAGTTGTGTGATGCTCTAAAAGCTTGTGGAATTACAACCTCTTAGGGTTTATCTCTGAATGTTTCCATGAAACTTTTGTTGATGAACCTGTTTGCGAATCTCTATATAATTTACTTACATTGTTTGTGAAAACTAGGAATCACCCACATTATGTGCACCATATGCATATGGAGTAATAATGGAAGCATCAGCCAGACCAATTTTTTGGGGTGACAGATTGTTTTTCGTCTATGTTCTGTACTTCCACGTAATGGGACTAGTTTCACTAATTTGATTGAGATAAATTGGTAATTATGTGACCCTGATCAATGTATTGGTTCAGGAAGAACCAAAGTTGTGATGCCCTGGCTTGCATGTTTCAACTTTTAGATGTGTTTTTTTTTTTTTTTTGAATCATGCTCAAATTTACAAACTTTCTTCGCTTTGGGATCCTTATTTGCGTGACTTTTTTTTACTACATAACAGGTATGATATGGCTTTGAACCGTTGGCTGACGGAGACAAGTGTACCAAGAAAAGCCCCCAACGACTCGTCATTTGGTTTTGTTGTGTTGGACAGGGAGTTGCATGTGATGACTCTTCTGAACGGAATTGATTCAACAGAGACACGAAGATCACGACAGCAAAAGAGGGCAGCAACACTGTTCATACAGATATACCATCCTAGGAGGAAGTCATGGAGAACTCTAATCACAAAGCCACCATTTCACAACCCTTTAGATTTCAAAACTGCGGTTATGTGCACCATTTGCCTGTAGAAGATTCCATTGATTTCTCTGATGTGTGTAACGCTGTTATTACGTCTGCATAATGCTCGTTTCATCTTTTAGCTTCAGTACCTTGATGGTTAGTATGTTATAGTATTTGTATATGCCAGTGTATAGCTTGATGAGGATGATTGCATTCCAATAAAAATGTTGTATTGATTTTCACTTGACTTGTGTAGATAACTTCCACAAGTAAATGTATCTAAATTTTGTGTATATCTCTTCATTTCTGTATATTGTTTGTGACCATCTGTAATCCTGAAAATTTTGTCTATTCCTATTCAGGGCTGCACTTAGATTTAAATAAAAAGCTTTTGATTTTTGGAGCTATTAGAACTTTGGTTCTGTGTTTAAACTTATTTCAATAGAAGATGGTGGGTGGTTAATATGGTCTCATAGCATGCAAGGTCGGATAATTAAAATTGAAACACATAAAAGGGGCCGTTTTAGCTGTAATAGAGGGTGTAAGCGAGACTTCAAAGGAGTAGTTGATCTCTTTTAGCATCAAACAGTTAAGAGAGTGTAAGTGAGTCCTCAAAGGAGCGACTGATCACTTTTAGCATCAAATTCTTTTTCATAACGCAACTTTAGCAATCATAAATTTCAATTGCATGATCCATCCAGGTTAATTGAAAGCATTAATGGGGAAAGATTGGATACAGACCTAATAATATCTTGCAATCCAAAACTAAACTAATAATATCTCTCTCTGCAATCCATAGTCTCACGAGTCTTTGTCCCATTCAATTGATGAAACTTCCATGTTTACAAGGAACTCATATTTTTTGTTTTCGTTTTTTAATTATATTTTATTAGATTGGAATGAGTCAAATTTTTTTTTTTAACGGAAGGAATGAGTCAAATTGTGAGAGGTGAAATAAGTCGAGTGGTGTTTTTTTTAGGTACAAGGGTTTGGTGTGGGTGATATTAAATTTGAACACTTAAAATAGGGAGAAAGTACTTTTATATTAAAATATAATAATATAGGTAGATTTAAAATGTAACGGTCGGAGCAAGAGATCTATATATATATATATATATAAATGTTCCTCTGTTTAAACCCATAATAAGGGCAATGCCAGTAAACTCTTAAATGCCGTGCTGAACCATTCATGACACAAAATTAAATAGTCATAATCATATACTTGAGTAAATACAAAGTTTCATGGCTTTACACATTTATGCTACAGCATACTTAATCTTAATCACAATAATTTACTACTACATACTAAACAATGAAAAATAATTATTTTTCTATCATGAAATTACTAATATATATAAAATTACAATGCAAGATTAACTTATTTGAAATATCGTTATACGTTTCTCTCTAAACAATTGACTATTGGAATATAGCTTCTCTATCCCTAGGCGACTTTTCGATCATTGTCTGTGGCGATCTTGTGGGCGGGTGCAAGAAACACTGACAGACTATCACACTGAGTGAGTTACATGTGCACAATCTTACATCGTCTGGGTGTGGAAAGAGGAAGTGCTATATATGTAGGTGTGTCACTCCAATTGGTATTAGGCCTTTTGGGATAAACTCAAGAATAAAACCGTACGGGTTTGGATCCAAAGTGAGCAATATCATACAATGTGATGGAGTGGGTTGACAACATCAGTACATCACTTTATGGATATCACGCTTCTCTTTTGTTCTCTTTCTTTTTATGAAATAATTGAATTGTTCATGAAATTACCTGCAAATCTATGGTGCAAATTAAAATATAAATATATATATATATATATATATATATATATATATATATAAGAAGAAGATAAAGAGAAATAGGGATGACAATTTGTACCGCCACGCCGAAGCCCCGCTTTGTCCTTGCCCTAATGGTATGAGTATAAGAACCGTTTATGTAGGCGAGTATGGATTTAGATATTAAACCTATCATAGGTTATAGGATGGGTACAGGTTTTTAGAAACATCTGTCCCACCCCGCTCTTTATACTATATATATATATATATGTGTGTGTGTGTTATAGATGTATACACATTATTGTATATACATATATCATTTTTTTCATTAATTGTATAGAATTTATAGATTTTATCAATTTATTTATATAGATAACAAAAAAAAAAGGGAAAAAAAAAAAAAGAAAACGAGGCTGGCCTGGGCGGGGCGGGCACGGTTACACGCATCTCTTACCGGGGCGGGTATGGATTTTGAAATTAAAACCCGTCGCGTGTATGAGGCAAGTATAAATTTGTCCATAATTAAACGCGGTGGGTCCAAATTTAGGCAAATCCGATCCATAACCACCCATTACCATCCCTAAAGAGAAAGAAATGGGATTCACAAATATACTTACAAAAAAAAAAATAAAAAAAATAACGTTGTGATTACATGTAATTTTTTTTTTCTCTAGATTTATAAAAAATAAAAATAAAAATTGACTTTTACTTATTTTAACTACCCAAGCTGTTGCATGCTGGTGTCATTTTAATGGAATTACCTGCAACTGAAAGGTGAAAATAAATAAATAAATAAATGAAGCTAGTAGGATGACAGTAAGGTGGATGACAAATGAAAATCTACGGTAAAATTAAAATATAAATAAAATTTGAATTTAAAGTGAATAATATCATATCATATGGTGTAGTGGGTCGATAACATCAGTATATCACTCTATATGTATCACACTTCTTTTTTGTTCTCTTTCTTTTTATGAAATAACTGAATTGCTCATGAAATTACCTGCAAATCTATGGTGAAACTAATATATATATATATGAAAAAGATAAAAAGAAATAGGGATGGCAATTTGTGCGGCCCACCCAGAGCCCCACTTTGTCCTGGCCTAATGGTACGAGTATAAGAATTGTCTTACGTAGGTGAGTTTGGATTTAGATATTAAACTCGTCACAGGTTATGGGGTGGGTATGGTTTTGAGAAACATTTGTCCCGCCCCGCTCTTTATATTATATTTATTTTTAATATATATACACAGATGTATATATGTGTTATTGATATATGCACATTATTGTATTCATGTTATTTACTATATATATATATATATATATCATTGTTTTCATTATATAGAATTTATTAATTTATTTATATAGATAAAAAAAAAAAATTGTAAACGGGGTTGGCCTGGGCGGGGTGGACACGGGGACACATATCTCATACCGGGGCGGGTATGGATTGTGAAATTAAAACCTGTCGCAAGAATGAGACAGGTATAGATTTGTCCATAATTAAACAAGACGGTACGAATTTAGGCAAATTTGCTCCATACCTGCCCGTTGCCATCCTAAAGAGATAGAATACTTACCAAAAAAAAAAAGGCAAAAAATTAACGTTGAAACGCATTTTTTCCTTTAGGACTTCCCAATGCATACGTAACATACCCATTCAAATTCAAGTCTATTAGTAACCCTGCTGCATAGTCAACATTCAAAGTCCTTTATCAAGTTAAAACCATCAAAGATTTCAACTCACAATGTCATATATATATATATATATATATATATATATATATATATATATATATATATATATATAGACACACACACACACCAGTTGCATGTTTGCTTGATGCATATATAAATACACCCCTCTCCTAGCATCTAATCTCCATTAATTGTGTTTTAACAACTGTATACTCTTTGCATATACGCTTATCACCAAGATGAAATATCCAAGTATTGTTGTAGCCATTATGGCAGTACTTTTCCTTCTAAGCATCAAACCATATGAAGCTAGTAGGGTCCTGAATGAAGGGACAGTAGGGTTAGGGTTGATGAAAAATGAATATCTTTTGATGCAATCCCTGCAGAAAAGTCCAGTTGTCCTTCCGGCACCAAACCCGGGCACCAGCAAGACTCCCAGCACCAGTACCATCAGCCAGAAGGGCTTTGCCGGCCATGCTATACCTTGTCATCCTCCTCCTGCTCCATACCCACAGCGCGCTCGTGGTTCTATTTGGTAAATAAATAATCCTGCAAGCTGCCATTAGTAACAATCTCATGCACAGAACCTCATAAACACAATGGCCACTGGACTAAATAAGACAGTAACAGACCAATTTGTAATAAATTTTATTTTGTTTTATTTTTTTCGTTCTTTATACGTGTTGGGGTGTTTTTATTTATTTATTTGTAATGCGTAAAAAAAAGAGTATGCTGTTGTTGTGTGTTTTTGTATACTCATGACAGAAGAATTGGAATAAAAAGAAGTGAATTGTGATTAAGTTTTTGCTTGTTATTGTTGTTATTAATTATGAGAAATTAATATTTTTTTCTTATTTACTAAATGTATTAACATATTACATATAAATTTGGTTTTTATTGAATTAATTATCAGTGTCAAATGGTCCAAAACTATTTAATAATTTTTTTTTTTTTTTGTATAAAAAAAGGATTGGGCCAATTGGCATGTAGAAGTGCAGAACTATAAATATATAATTTTATGTCAAGACAGAAATAACGGGTCTGAGAACAAGTATATATATATATAGAGAGAGAGAGAGAGAAAATCTAAAGAATTGAAGACCTCTCTCTACACACACCACAACAACACAACTCTACTTATTTTTTACATTTGTTCTCTCTCTGCTCCCTTCCCTTTAGATTTCTTCATTAATAAAATCCTTGTTTCAAGGTAGAAAACCCAGCTTAAGAAAATTAGGGAAAAAAAAACCCCAGCTTAAGAAGAATATTATTCCTTCAATTCGACATTTAATTGCCTAATCTTCTTGGCCATTTACAACCAGATAAAAATGAATTTTGATTTTTCATTGTGTTCTTAGCAAGCTAGCTTTGGTATACCTGCGTTTGCGATTGAAGTTCAAGTATTATAAACAAACATATTTTGGCATGCCCCGTGGTAAGATAAATATTAAGGAACTTGGAAGATGTGCAAAAAAAAAAAAAAACAAAAACGAAAAAAAAACCAAAGCAAATCACTTTTTTTTTTCTAGATCAATCCATAATACTGTTGATTTTTACACACAAATGTTACATGTGGAAAGTGAAAAATCATATTTTTCATGGTCACAGATTTAAGTATTTCGGTTGCCTCCTCATCGATGAGGTGAAACCTCCTACGTAACATCAAGACAAAATGATTAAGAATGTACGTACACATAAAGGAATCAGGAATTTTGGATGGGAAATTTGTTTCACATCGAATCCGAATGAAAAAGTAGATGAATATATAAGTTGGATATTAATTTCATCTACTAGCTTAAACTTTTGAGTCGAAT